AGTGCGGTAGGGGAAGAGACGGTAGAAGGGGACTGACTCGTCGAACGTGACGTCCTGGGAGGACAGAACACGACGAGAGGAGGGGTGGTAAAACTGCCACCCTGGGGCGTCAGTGGGGAAGCCAAGGAAGACACAGGGAGCAGCACGAGGGGACAGCTTGTCCGCAGACAAGTCGCGGACAAACGCCCGAGATCCCCAGACACGGAACACAGACGCATCGCCAACCTTCCCCGTCCACAGCAAGGCTGGGGACATCGCTGGCCGAGAGACCCGGGGGTGAAGGTTGAGCTGATGCGCCGCGTACCTCACCGCAAACGGCCACAGAAAATGGGGGGCAGCCGCATGCATCATGGACGTACGAGCGACATCCATGACCATGCCAATGCGGCGCTCAGCAATCCCATTTTGCTGTGGTGAGTCCGGAAGCGTGAAGGTCTGGCGGATCCCCCGTGCACGACAGTAGTCTCGCAGAAGGCGAGAAGAGAACTCTCCGCCTCTGTCAGAGTGCAGACGCAGAACAGGAAAGTCCGAGCCGAAGCTCTTCCTGAGCTGGAGACGAGCCTCGCGGATCCAGTCGATCAGCACCTCAGTGACCGCACCCTTGCTGCGTAAGGGGAGGACTGTGGTGTAACGCGAGTAGTCGTCAACCACCAACAGGAAGTAGCGCTCGTGACCCTGCCCACGGACGGGGGCTGGGCCCCACACATCCATGTGAAGCGTCTGCAGGGGAGCCTCTGTCGGGGGGAAGTGGGAGGAGTGAGGAGTAGCCCGGAGGCGACCCTCGACACAGGGGACACAGGAAGGTCCTGGCCCGGAGGGGAGAGGAGGGAGAGACTGGGGAAGACCAGAGACAAGGACACGGGAAGCCATGCTCCGAAGACGGGGCAAGGAGGGGTGGCCAAGACGGTGGTGCCACAGGAGAGTCTCGTGAGACAGGAGGCGACAAGAACAGGGGGCAGACTCAGGACCTGACCGGGACGCAGCAGCAAGTACCTGACCCGACGCAGCCACCTGACCAGACGCAGGGACAGGAGGAGACTCAACGGTCAGGGTGTAGAGACTCGACCCCGGCCGACGTGAGAACGTGGCCAGGTGTCGGCCTGTGCGAGCCTCCGTGCAGTGGGTCACCCTCTGACGCGCAGGAGTGAACTGGTGAACACCCCCATCCTGCAGGTCCGCTCCACTCACCAAGTTCGTAGAGAACGAGGGAAGGTACAGACCCGACAGGGTGCCCGAAGGGGCAGCCGGACACGGGAGGACAGTGGAGAAGTGAGACAGGACAGGACCCCCAGAGGGGTCAGCAAGGGAGACCGCAACCGGCCTGGCGAGCGGCGAAAGGGTAGTGCGGTCTCGAAAGAAGGAGCGAGAAGCTCCGGAGTCAAGTGTGAAAGTGAGGGAGGACGAGGACGACTCAGTACCTGAGAGCGCAGTCTCACCAGTACCTGAGAGCGCAGACGCACTGGCACCTAGAGCAGCAGCCTCACAAGCACCTAGCGCAGCAGTACCAATGCCCGGGTCGGGCTGAAAACACCGGTAACCCTCATTCTCCTCACTATAATCCACAACATACATAGCAGTAAGGATAGCATCAAAATCAAGATCAAAGATCGCTACACCAGCCCTGAGAAGCTCATCCCAGCGAGGGATCTCACTAGCCCCAGGGAACTGCTGACGCCAAGCGTCCGTCAGGCGGCCAAAGCAGCGCTGGGTGGCGTGGGCACCCCCACACTGCTCACCCGCGCGGTCGCCGGAACGAAGAACGTAGGTGCAGGGACCAGTACCCCCACCCCTCTGACGCCCAGCGTACCACTCACGAAGCTGCTGAGGCGAAGGGATGTCCCGCGAGCGCTGCTGCTGCTGCCGGTGCGAGCGCTGGCCACCACCACCGCCGCTACGCTGCTGGGTACCACCCCGACCAGCTCCACCTCCTCCACCACTACTGCCTCCTCCGCTGCCGCCTCCACTGCCTCCACCTCCGCCGCCTCCACCTCCGCCGCTGCCTCCACCACCACCGCTGGCACCACCACCACCGTCTCCGCCGCTGCTGCCGCCACCACCACCACCACCCCCGCCACTAGCTCCGCCGCCACCCCCACTCCCTCCGCCGCCACCGCCGCCACCGCCACCGCCCCCTCCAGCTCCACCCGCGCCCTTGCCCCCCTTGCCCTTGCTGGAGCGACGTCTCCCACTAGGGGCAGACGCCGCGCCGACCGACTCAAGACCAAGCAGGTCGGCAGCAGCAGTAGAGGCAACAGAGGGCAGCAAGGGGGAAGGAGAGCACCCCTCAAAGATGGGGGTGCGAGGGTCACCACGAGAAGCACCTACAGCGACTATGCTCTTCTCCGCTGCAAGGAGGGCCTTCTCGAGGAGGTCGACGGTGAGAGTGGTGGGACAGACTGCGAGAAAGTGGTCCCTGACGACGCGAAGGGAGTCAGGGAGGCGTGCGACTACGTAGTAGAGAGCGATGTACATGGGGGGGGGGTTCTTAGCGCAGAACTCAGCAGGAAGGGCGGCGCGGGTAGCGAGTGTCACTAGTGCGGAGGTGCGTAATGAGGTCAGCGACAGTGGGAAAGGCAGAGAGGTCAGGAAAGAGGTAGGGAAGCATGAGACGGCTCAGTGCAGCAGTGGCAGGGGAGGAGTAGCGCGCAACTACAGCGTCGTACAAGGTCTGAGCACTCTTGTACTGACTAAAGTGCGCACGCTCAGAGGTAGGGAGGTGGCGACGCACAGCAAGACGTGCAGCAGCATCGCGGGTGGCCCACTTAGAGCGGACAGCGGGATCAGCATCAGCAGCAGGGGCAGGAGAGGCGCCAGAGGTGAGGTCAAAGAGAGAAAGGTCGTCAGCCCTGTCGCACTGTAAGAACAGCTGCAGGTCGTCTAACCAGACCTCAAAATCAACGGCGCGACCCTCAGCGTCAAAAGCTAGGACACTAGGGGTAGCCATGGTGACGACAGCGACGCAGTGCAAGCAGTAGGGAAAGAGCTCGCAGTGTCAGTGGGACAGTGCTCACCAGGCAGGGCAGGTCGTGCAGTCAGCAGAAAGGCGGCTCAGCGACCGGGCGGCTCGGGTGCACAGCTGCTCGGCTCCCGGGCGGCTCGGCGGCTGGGCGGCTCGGGCGCAGGGCGGCTCGGCTCCCGGGCGGCTCGGCGGCTGGGCAGCTAGGGTGCAGGGCGGCTCGGCTCCCGGGCGGCTCGGCGGCTGGGCGGCTCGGGTGCAGGGCGGCTCGGCTCCCGGGCGGCTCGGCGGCAGGGCGGCTCGGGTCCCGGGCGGCTCGGCTGCTGGGGCGGCTCTGCCGGGAGATGCAGCGTCGGGCCGGCAGGTGCAGCGTCGGGCCGGCAGGTGCAGCGGCGGGCCGGCAGGTGCAAGTGGCGGGCCGTAAGAGGCGGCGGGCCGATGGGTGCAGCGGCGGGCCGGTAGGTGCAGCGGCGGGCCGGCAGGAGCAGCGGCGGGCCGGCAGGGTGCAGCGGCGGGCCGGCAGGAGCAGCGACGGGCCGGCAGGGTGCAGCGGCGGGCCGTAGAGTGCAGCGGCGGGGCCGTCGGCAGCAGAGGCGGGGCCGCGTCAGAGGAGGCGGCGTGGCCGCGTCAGGGGAGGCGGCGGGGCCGCGTCAATGGAGGCGGCGGGGCCGCGTCAGGGGAGGCGGCGGAGTCGCGTCAGGGGAGGCGGCGGGGCCTCGTCAGGGGAGGCGGCGGGGCCGCGTCAGGGGAGGCGGCGGGGCCGCGTCAAGGGAGGCGGCGGGGCCGCGTCAAGGGAGGCGGCAGGGCCGCGTCAGGGGAGGCGGCGGGGCCGCGTCAGGGGAGGCGGCGAGGCCGCGTCAAGGGAGGCGGCGGGGCCGCGTCAAGGGAGGCGGCGGGGCCGCGTTAAAGGAGGTGGCGGGGCCACGTTAAGGGAGGCGGCTGGGCCGCGTCAGGGGAGGCGGCAAAGCCGCGTCAGAGGAGGCGGCGGGGCCGCGAGTGAAAAGGCGACCCGAGGGGTCGCTAAAAAAAAAGGGCGCGCCTCGGGGCGCGCGTCGGTTGGCCCAGACAACGGTCCTAAGGTAGGACCCGCTCTATACCATGTGAGAATAGGAAAACAGGAATGAATGAACTATGAATGAAAGCAGTACAAATATGAAACCCTAACTGGGTTGTACCCCCTATGGGATACCCCACTACAGCCTACACAGCAGTATAAGCTATAGATATGTTCTGACAGCGATTGGGGCGGAGGCGACTCGGGAGTGGTTCGGTGCGACGAAATAGGAAGGACAGGTTCGTCGCATGACCCTCGGGATGGCCTCGCTAACGAGTGCCTCAGTAAGGATTCTGTAATTCCTTACAATTGTGGACGTTTGATTGCGCTTTGTAGTGTAACCTTTAATATTAAATAAAATTGTTTTACCAGGAGTGAAATCTTGTAGCAACTAAGATTCAAGAATATAAACCCCTTGATTGTTACACGATTGATTCTCCATCTTCGAAGGAACGGAGGCCATCGTTCCGCAGGTTTGCTGGAACAGAGGCGAGAAGTAACCTTCGCGTGTACTGTACACGGCGTCCGCCTGACATTTTGGTCATCAGCAGGTCTCTTTCCCAGGCTCTCGGCAAACGCTCGGTGTGAACGTTTTCTGTTGAACGCATCTGGGAAACTCGCCAATCTTGTCGTTATTCGAGTCTGGACGAAACCGCTGGTCAACATTTTCTCCCCTCACTGTGCCTCCAGACAGACACAGGAGCCTCGCTTGCCCCTCCGTTTCGCAGTCCCTCCCCTCCTGCCAGTCCGTTCGGGCGTTGTAGACTCTTTCGCGAAAACCTAACGAGCGACGTCCAGGTTTCACCAACCAAACAGGAGCAGTGCTCAGGCAACCTCCTTTTCCCCTCTGCTCGAGCTCATTCAACAAAACCTTGAGCAAGAAGCACCATTGTGTATGCGCCTGCTCTCCTCTTTCACGGTCCCCCCACATTTCAAGCTCAATTGAAGCTCTCTCGCTCACGTGCTTTATCTCCCTGGGAACGTCTAGCCATGGCTCGTGTAGCCTCGCTCCTCGCTATCCTCCTCGTCGCCTTACCTCTGGCCTTCGCAGCCGAGCGTCTCCCTCCCGGCCAGTATCCCTGCCCAACATTCGAGGCTATCAGCACATGTCCCGACGCCGCCACTGCTCCGGATCTCGCAGAGCATCCCTCCGTGCAGTTCGGCCAGATCATCGAGACGAACCTTCGCGGTGACCTCACCCGTACCGCTGGCTACGCCGGTATGACCCCCAAGGACTGCTGCGAGAAGGTTGACGGCTCTGGCTTCTGGACGTGGTCCGCTGACTCGAGCGACCAGGAATACGGTACGCTTATTTATTGGTTTGAATTTCTCTCTCAATTCGTCGTGGTGCTTCGCCCCCCTCTCCCCGCCCCCTCACTTTCCTTACGTGTTAGCTGTCCCTGACATTTTTCCGTATCAATGTCTGCCGTCGGTTTTGCAGGTTGGTGCGACATCTGGCAGAGCAATGCCTGCGTCAGGGCTGGCAGTGAGCAAGGAAAGGTGTTCGACTCTAACCCCGCCTTCGCATACACCTTCCTCAAGGTCGCTTAACGTAGTTTCTTGAGATAGGTTTACCTTATGATATCATGTACACTAAACGAATTGCTACAAAGTTCTGATATGTAGATATCGATGGTCTTGCGGCATACTCAAGAACGGCCTTTACTGATCCCAGTTGCTGGTGTAACTGTGAAGGTGGAAAGCTCTCATGCTCCGTGCACACTGAAAAATATGTCCATAGTCTCTTCTTCAATTGAAGTGCACTTCTTATCGATGTGCAGAACCGGCCTTTGCCCACTATGCACGGGTGTACTCAGAAAGAGCCATAGAGGGTAGGTTGGTTTTACAATGAGATGGTTGGTTTTGTTGCCGCTATAAAAACCTGGCTGCTGGCCTGTTAGGCTACTTGCCTCGTAGGCTGCTAGGTTGCTTGCTCGCTAGGCAGCGTGCCTGCTTGCCTGGCTGGTTGGCTGGGTTGCTAAATGTTGGCTGGTGAATGGGGAATGGCATCTGTGGGCAGGTGAAAAACTGGGTGGCGTCTATGGTCTCGCTGTACTTAATAGCATGAATGCCTTGCGTCTGATGCTCATCCTCTTACGGTCGCATTCCTGCTCTTACTCTGGCCACTTCCTGTTTCCTGTCAGTCCGTGACTCCCTGCCAAGGTGAGCATATCACCCCCTGTTCTCTGTCTCCCCACCAGCTGCTCATTACTGTACGTCCATAGGTGCAGCGTGCAGGTGCCTCACCACTGTCATTGTTTGTGAGGGTTTTTTATGAGTCTCCTCACCCACCATCTGTTGCACAATATCAGTGTGCGCTTACCTCTCATGCCAGCTGCGTCTCACTCACTCATGCAGCGGCACGGCACACCATGAAGCAAGGCATGATGCCACGCACAGCAAGCACAGGAGGACTCTCTGACCTGCTTGAGTTCTTGTGCCCAGCAATAAGTGGGAAATGTACAATAAGCAACATAAAGACTGAGGACGCGCGGCCCTCAGATTGGTTTCAGGGCATGTTGATGGATCAGCGCGCCCTGCCCAAAGTAGTGACCAAATCAGCGTTGGGGGTGAAGTTTATGCTGATTTTGTCAGGGTAAAATTTCATGGTTACCGTTGTTGGGAATAATAAGTCTTAAGCGCCTCTGTCGTGTCGAAACTCAGGACACTAGCGAAGCAGTCCGAATCGAAGCATCGCGAGTCAACCCTCGGAGGTTAGGGTAACCGCCTAGAGGTTACGAGAAGGTCAAAGGTCAGCGACCTTTGACTTGACAAATACAGCGCGACAGCAAGGACACACAACTGACTCGACATTGAGCAGTTGCCCGAGTCGCACTGTATCGAATCGCAACAGTAAAACGGTTTTAACTTATCTATTCGTATTCCTTGTACTCTTATATAAACCTTTGTATTTGCTTGTTTAATCAACTTACTTTGCCCTCACATACCGTAATCTCCCGGATAGTAGACCCTAGGGTCTTGTGTAAAATTCATAAAAAAATAGGGGGGGGGTCTTGTCAACGGCACAAGATTGTTTAGTACCCGGGTCTTATTAAATTGATATGATTTTTAAAGGTGTAATCGAGTGCCTCATTGATGAGGATGCTTGACATTTTTTCCCCTGTTGTTTGGGCCGCACATGTGTGCGACTTCTGCGATGTAGCCATATCACACAGGGGAATCAGCTTGTGGCCTTCTCATTGGCCGAAATCGCACGTTACCACATTCCAGCATTGAGATTCGCTTTGTGGCTCGTCAGCGTGCCATCCCACCTCGACACCCTGACACATGTATGGCTCGAGCGCAGGGGCTGCACGATGGCCCGTGCAGCAACCCCTACTGTTCAACGGGAGGCACGTCAATCCTTTCACCCATCACAATCCTTCTCCTCCGCCTGTTTCTTCATCCACGCACGAAACTGATTTCTGCTCGGCAGAGTGGTGCGCTTAGGGCCCGTAGCTCTAGGATGGTCGTCTTAAGATGGCTGGAGGAAGTACTTCGAGCAGTAGCTAGAGGTGTAAGCTATCATTCACGATGGTGACGTCTCCAGATTCAGGGATGTCGCACGCAAGGCGCCCTCGTCCCACTAACGTTAATCGAGCATCGCAAGTACGAGTTTCACCCCGGCCCGTTTTGCCAACAACTTCACCTTCCTCCAGCGATCCTAGCGACAGTTCCCATGGCATTCGCCGACCGCCGCTTCCTAGAGTCGTGATCCCTACTTTTCCGGAGTCTAGTCGCCCGCAAGGCATGAAACGAAGGATTCTAGATGCTGCGCCTCCTTCCCCTCGTCATAGGATGACGAAACGCTCTCGTAACGCGTTCACCGCCAAGGAGAAATTGCACTGGCTGGCCATGTTGGAGTCACAGCCTGACCTCAGCATCCGTGGCTTGGCGAAGCTCGCCAAGGTGCAGCCCAAGCAAATCCGCGAGTGGAGGCGACTCAAGGAGCGTCTCGAGGTCGCCGCTGGTTGTCGCCGACGTCTTAACGGTGGAGGGCGTAGGGCGAAGTGGCCCCTGATGGAGAATGCGGTTTACCGCCAATTCTTGGCGCACCGTGCCAAAGGATTGGCGGTGTCGGTGAGCCTTCTCCGCAAATGGGCAACTCAGTACATGAAGCACCGTCAGCCTACCGCCGATTTTCGCGCATCGGCACGTTGGACCTTTCGCTACCGCGTGCGGTGGTCATTAGCGCAACGCGTGAAGACAAAGATGGGGCAAAAACTAGCCGCCGGTGAGCAAGTTGCATGTCACCCCCCCTTGCCGTAACGGTTTACGTAAAATGCTATCTAACACATGTGTCGTTGTGTGTTTAACAGATTGCAAGGGAAAGGTGGAGTCCTTATGGGAATTCGTCCGCCAGATGCGCATGGTTCATCGCTTTCCCCTCAACCTCATCGTGAACGCTGACCAGACCCCGCTCTGGTTGGAGATGCCGGCAGAACGCACCCTCGAAATGAAAGGCGCCCGCACGGTGCATGTCAGGACGGCGGGGTACGAGAAGGAGCGTGTCACTGTCATGTTGGCAGTGACGGCTGACGGCCTGAAGCTTCCCCCGTATGTCATCTTCAAGCGGAAGACGGTGCCACGAATCGTGGTGCCACCAGGTGAGCCCGATGTGTTTCTGTCGTTGATTCCTTCTGTTCCTCTTGTTTCTCCATTACTGATTTCCAGTTGTGGCGTGTGCAGGTATCGTCATCCGCGCCCAAGAGAAGGGTTGGATGGACGAGCGCCTTGTCCAGGATTGGACAACACAGGTGCTCGTCCCCTTCTTGAAGCCGTTGCGGGACGAGGGCGGGCGGCGCAAGCAAGCGCTCCTTGTCTTCGACTCGTACAAGGGGCACCTGACGGAATCTGTGGGGCAAACTCTGAAGATGTTTAAGGTGACGCGTGCCGTCATCCCTGGCGGTTGCACCCCCCTGGTGCAACCGCTTGACGTCTCCATCAACAGCAGTTTCAAGTGCGGTGTTCGCCACCGCTACAGCACGTGGTTTGAGGAGGTCGGGATCGGCCAAACGACACGTGTAGGTGAGTCGTGGTCGATTTGTGAGCTTTAAGATGACTAGTCAGCATTAACTCCACTGCCTTTACATCTCTGCTGTGCATTCTTCTTGTGAACTCCAGGGAACTTGAAGAAGCCCCCCCCTGAAGTGATCCTGAAGTGGATCGTCGAGTCATGGGCTGATGTGCCAGAGGAGCTGGTGAAGAAAGCTTTCCTCACCTGCGGCATCTCCAGTGCCGAAGACGGGAGCGAGGATCATCTGATCCTGGCTCACCTGCGGGACAAGGCGGAAGTGGAGGTGCTGGAGGATGTGCTGGACGAGGGGGAGGACGGGGTGAACCCCAACCCGTTCTACGAAGACCCCTCGCACGCCCCTGAGCCCGCCGCTACCAAGGACGATGAGGCAGAGGACGAGGAGGAAGGGCTTGCAGGGGAGGAGGATGTGGTGGATGCTGCTGCCGAGGAAGGGGATGTGATGGCTCCGGAGGAGGAGGGGGATGAGGCAGATGCAGAGATGGGAGGTGCGGACGAGTGGAGTGAGGATGGAGACGACTGGTGGGCAGCAGGCCGCTATGAGGGAGAGGAAGTGGAAGAGTGGGTTGCAGGCGAGGATGAGTGACTATTTTTATGTTGTTCTCACCCCTTGTTGCCCCCTAAATCTCTGAAATGCAAACCGTGAATAGGTTGCATTGGTGTCAAGCTTTTCTTGCTAGTGAAGCACTTGAAAAGACATCTTATTTCCATTATAAACTAGTGACAACCATGAAGGGGGTCTAGTAATGTTTACCCCTCTAGGGGGGGGTATAGTGAAAACCTGCCAAAATAAAAGACCCACCCCCGTAATACAGACCCGGGGGTCTTGTATTCCGGGGGGTCTATTATCCGGGAGCTTACGGTACTAGCGCAAGGTGGTTCAAGTACTTTCATTCAAACGCTTCCGCTACTACAATTCTACTCAGACTTAAAACTCTACAAAGATCCTAGGGCACTTCAGCCCAACATGGTATGAGAGCAGTTAGAGTTTTAAAGTTGTTTTCCCTTTTAACACTCAATACAAGAAGACATGTCTGCAAGGAAGGAGAGGAGCTCCTCCAACGGCTCTCCAGGCACTACTCCTACTCCACCTCCTGTCTCTGGTCTACAGACAGAGGAAGGGACTACCACGAGACCAGCAGCTGGGTCTACGGAAACGCCCGCAGGCTTCGATCCAAGCATGATGGAAAAGTTCTTCTCCTTCATGTCCTTCTACGAGCAACACCAGCAAGGAGCACCTGCGCAATCAAACAACAGCAACAACAACAACAACGTGACGCCTATGAGTCTCGATGGCTCATCCTACGCACGCGGGATTCAACAACAACAACAACAGCCTACCTTTGCGCCATACGAGCCCCAGCGTGGCTCCGTCAGCTTCATGCCGCAACCGCAACCTGCACCAGGACAAGAAAAGGCATTGGATGCGTTACAAGTTCAATCGCAATTCGCGCATGTCTTAAAACTACAAACGACAAAGCCTTTCGACGACAAAGATTTCTTCACCTGGTCGTTC